AGAATGCTGGTGATATAAATGTGGAAGGACAATATGGTAACAAAAATATAATACTCCAACATAAAGATCTAAATAAATAATTCTTAATTTTCTGAAAAAATAAATGTTTTGTTCTAAGGTCAAATATCACAAAAAAATAAATGCACTAATTCTTTGAAAAGTATAAACTAATCAGTACATGATACATGTAACTTTACCCTTCAAGTAAGAATTAAGTCTTCGGTTGGGATGAACCATCTGCTTGCTTCTTTAGCAGTTCAATGATTCCCATTGTCTGTTCATGCCTTTGCTGATTCTGGACCTTCAATACATCGATGTGTTCTTTAAACTGATTGGTTCTTACAGTCCTTTCTTCTCTTATTATATTCTCTACAATGGTCAAAACAGACTCTATTGGACGGATATATTTGTTAATTGCTTCAAATTTATTTATTTTTGATTTCTTAGATTGAGAAGTTGGAGGTCGACAGAGATATTCATCAGCGTCTATTTTGCTTGGGTCCTCCGGAGTCTCTTTGTGAGGTGATGATGCTCTACTTGAGTCCAGCACAAACTCAGGGTTGGACTTGTGCTTGTCCCCGAGAATACCATCTTTCTCATCAAAATATTGAGGTTTTTTAAAAAAAACCTTTCCCAGTTTGTCTTGACTGATCTTTATATTTCATGTAGGAATGCTGCAAATTCATAAACTTCTGGCGGAACTTCTCTCTACCTGAAACGCCCTATCCAACAAAGAATCCCATTTCATTCATTCTATTGGCGATTTCTAACCATAAGATATTCATCTAACTCATCAAAAATTGAGGTTTTTTAAAAAACCTTCCCCAGTTTGTCTTGACTGATCTTTATATTTCATGTAGGAATGCTGCAAATTCATAAACTTCTGGCGGAACTTCTCTCTACCTGAAATGCCCTATCCAACAAAGAATCCCATTTCATTCATTCTATTGGCGATTTCTAACCATAAGATATTTTTACTAGTTTTTTGTCATTGAACTTATCATTTAGTGATTTCCTTGAAGATATAAAAGCATAACAAGCTTGAACATCTTCATCAGTAGGATTTTTTGCGGAGGTCCATACAGTGTGTTTCACTTCTCATGGAAACACTCCCATATCTTCCGTAATATTCGAGGTAGAACGATGAAACTCTTAGGACTGATGGAAATGCTCAAAATGCAGCTACCACCTGAATGGGGTTGGCCAAAGTGATATACACTGTCCGTCACTCGCGATGGAATACCCCATTTTTACGGTAAAACATATTAGGGGGCAAAATAGGCTCAAAATTCCTTCAGATTCGTGATCAGGACTACCAACTTACTACGAATACATTTTTTTCCTGAGAAAATTTCAGTCCTGAAAAATAACACTCCCGTATCTTCCGTAATATTCGAGGTGGAACGATGAAACTCTCAGGACTGATGGAAATGCTCAAAATGCTCAATAGTTTGGTAGTCCTGATCACGAATCTGAAGGAATTTTGAGCCTATTTTGACCCCTAATATGTTTTACCGTAAAAATGGGGTGTTCCATCGCGAGTGGCGGACAGTGTATATCACTTTGGCCAACCCCATTCAGGTGGTAGGTGCATTCTGAGCATTTCCATCAGTCCAGAGAGTTTCATAGTTCTACCTCGAATATTACGGAAGATACGGGGGTGTTTCTATGAGAAGTGAGACACACTGTATAATTTCTGATGATTCTAATGATATTGAGGAGTCCGATGTTATGGGTTCGTTCAAGGGTTCATTTTGCAAATTATCCTTTCCAAAGTGTTTTTGAATTTGTTTTAAATAATTTTCAGCACATTCAGGATCTGAAAACATTTAAATGCAAAATCTCCAAATAAAAGAACAACTTTCAGTGCACACCTTGTAAACTCTGGAAAGTGTTAAAATCGACATTCAAGCAATAATTTGCCAGCTTTATTTTGTACATCCTCACGAAGTGTTTGATAAATAAATTTTCGAAAACAATCAAAATAAAGCAGAAAGTGACAACTGACGTAACGTAACGTCAAATTCAGTTTCAAAACCAACCTCACGTTAGTTTTGAATCATCATGAATACGTTTCAAATCATAATTTATGTGACGTCATCGTTTCAACGCCAGAATGAATGTATTTGAATCACAGACGAATACGTTTTGTATATATGAGCGCCCGAATACGCCTTTTCTTAATTGTTGTAACCTCAAAAAATTCATTTATTTACGTTCACTTACTCGACATTTCTTCGATATGAACAATAACGCCTAAATTTTTTATTGAATAGAGGAGTCCAAAGGATCTTCAAAATGGCTACAATTTTCTGCAACAGATATGTTGCAGATATGTTGTTCTCTACAGGTTCCAGCGTATCCTCTGGAACTTTCCTGAAAGCTCTAGGGATTCTTCGTTTTATGCCCTCTATAGATGTTGGAGGAGTTTGGTAGAAAATTCATTTGATGTTTCCCCATAAAAAATCCATTTTGGTCAGATCAGGTGATCTGGGTTGCTACGCCACAGGCCCACCCCTACATATCCATTTTTATTAAAATTATCGTTGAGGTATTCTCGTACCACAATTTTAAAATGTGGTAGTGCACCTTGAAGCCACATTATAGGTTTTGTTCCATATGAAACCTCGTTCAATAAATTTGAAAACTCATACCGAAAACTCATTTCAAAATTCAGTGGGTTGAACTATGTCATTTTCTACCAAGATTACACTATATACAACAAATAGCTATGATATAACAATATAGGTACATTACGCTGCCAATAAAAAAAATACAGGATGATGGATCATCTATTGTTTGTTAAAAAATATCACCTAGGTACTTCTTTTTCTGTTTTCAGGCCCATAAAAATGAAAACTCATACCGAAAACTCATTTCAAAATTCAGTGGGTTGAACTATGTCCAAACATACATATGANATCTATTTATGTACTTATTTGCTTTTGATTATCTGTTATACATAACCGTTTGTAAGTTTTTTTATGCGGTGTTTGCTATTCGTTTGTTGATGGTATATGCACTTTGTATGAAACCCTTCCTTTGACTTTTTCCGTACAGCCTGTAGATAAAATCATATTATTATTATTATAGACCAGTACAACAGATCATTATTAAACTAAGGCTTTGTTATTTATAATGAGGTTATCAGAAATAATAGAAATACAATATGCGTAGAGAAATTTAAAAACAAATTGGTACGTTTTTTTTCGAGAAATGAATTCTCATAATTGAATTTTTTTTCTGGAACTACATTTTTTTACATAATTTTTTTTATTTATTTGAAAATTCCTAACATAAACATATACTGATGATGGAAGTGAAGCGTCTGTATAAATATCTTACATATTTTTTGAAAAATATAAATAACTCTGTCCTCGCTTCAAAAGGTTTCTGATCTCAAAGATTAAAAAAAAAATTATCTGTTTCTGAGGACTTCCAAAGGAAATATCTCGTTGATTGTACTGTAATACAATATTACCTACATTTATTTATCTTCGTTCAAGAAGAGAACTAAAATATATGATTTTCTTCAGTTTTTTAATTACCAGCAAGGAAATTACAGAAATAGTAACAATCAACGTTCAAGGAGACATAAACAGTCACAGTCTTATGTTTTCTATTTAATATATATTACTGAATATGATTCTCTTCAATATGCTATGAAATTGTTATTTTAGGACAAGCTTACTACTTGAATTACTTCAAGTCAATTTCATTTATACCCAGAGTTAACGAAATATTTTCCTCACGATGTAACAACGAAGATAATCGAATAATAACCTTCACATGTGAAAATGGATCAGCGATAATAAATTTTCTCAGATGGGATGAAAAACAAGAGATGTTCCTCAGCACAGAAGGTGAGTGACGATAGAGCTGTGTACTTCTCTTGGGACGGTTAAAGTAAATTGCTATTGTTAGGTTAGGTGATTGAAATTTTCAAATATTTGTTATGGGGTTCCTCATGGATCAGTTCCTGAACTTCTTTTGTGAAATGTGGCGATGTAATTGCGATCCTTTACGATTTGTACACAATAACAAAAACTACAAAATACCCCAAGTCACTTGAAAGAGAGTATAACTGAAGAAGTGGCGAAATTATCCAGATGGATGTAATATTGAGAGCAGATAGTTGTTGGTTCACAGATGCATCAAAAATATCTTCCGGTTCCGATGCAGGACCCAGGACAGAGTAAGCAATCTGCCTAGGAACCTATGCGACTGTATTTCAAAAAGAAATTTACGCTATTGAATTGTGTGCGGAGAGATTAGAAGAATCCAACCTCATTCACAACTCAATGAAATTATTCTCGGACAGTTAAGTGGCGTTGGAAGCACTTGGCTTCTACCGAGCAATGTCTGAATTGGTAGCAAATTCCCAAAAACCACTCTCCTTCATAGGAAGACTCACCAGATTGTCTCTGGTATGGATTCCTGATCATACTGGCCTGGAAAGCAATGAAGCTGCTGACTCCCTTGCAAAGCAAAGGGTGCTGCAAGCAGCTTCATCGGACCAGAACCTGTCATTGGCATCGCTTTAGGCTTTGCCAAATAAACATTGAGCACCTGAAAGGCAAGGAGGTTTATGGACTCCAAGGCGTTTATTCACCCTTCGAAGCTTTATACAAAACAGTTGTTGGACTACAATAGGAATGAACTACGATGTCTAACAGGACTTCTAACAGGTCACTGTCATTTGAATCATCATATGCAGAGAGTCGGACTGTCGGAAGACAGTGTGTGTCGCCTCTATCTGGAAAATGATGAAACTGCAGGGCATATATTTTGTGCTTGCCCCGTTGGGGACCGAATCAGGTTCTTTGAGTTCGGCAGATCCGTACTCTCACCATCTGACCTGAAAGACCACTCACCATACAAACTAATCGGCTTCATTAAGAAGCTGGGATTATTTAGTCGAGTGTAAATAGGTGGGAGGCACAATAAACCCTTGTAGGTTGCGGTGGAGAGTCGAACGGACCCACTCACCTAACCTAACCTAACCCAACATCCAAGAACCCAAAACGGAAAAAGACTGGTTTTCAATGAACTGTTCCAAAGAGCTATTTTGCCGATATGATATAAGTTACAGATAAAAAAACAAGAGCTGAAAAAGAAATCTGTTGACAGTTTTTTTAGCCTATAATGTATGCTTTACAAGTTACAGAAATGCTTCCGATATATTGGTCGGGTGTTGGCATGAACGGTTGATTACTGCTTAATGCATGCCCTATATGACTACAAAAAGGATTGGAGATGAAAATATGGAATGCTGCAAGTATTTCTGAAATATACAGAATACACAATATTCGAGGGTAATAGATAGATTGAACAAGGCATCACCAATAACTGAAAGTATTGCATAACAGATATCATGTCACCAACACAATCGGGGGATAAAAAGAAGTAGACAAATGCAAGACAGTAAAAAAGTAAATGTAGAAATGGAGATATTTTAGGTACGAGTCTCGAACTGGGAGTCTCATTGCTGAGTTAGAAGTCCATGAAGTGTTTTCCCTTTGTAGAGCCATATATCTCTTCTACAATTTATTATGAAAATATGATANATAATGCATTCAACATTTAAAGGGATTCGTTTCTATTTCACCATTTGGCAACATCGGTTATAGCTAATAAAGGACAATGAATCTGTTACCTGTATGAGACAAACAAACGTGACATATTTCAGAGGCGTCCTGTTCTGTTTACTTGTTCCGAGTTCCGAGACATTCTGGCACATATGACATTTTGTGCACCTATCCTATCTTCTTCTATATAAATGAGTAACAAAACAACTTTTGTTTATGTGGCTTGTGGAGGTAGTATTGAACTATAATTTATATTTTGCCTTAATTGTTGATTTATAAAGATAATTTTTCTTTTTTAAAGTAGAATATCAAGGTACGTATAAATTATTTCAACTTGATATAGGCGCTGTTGCCAATATGTGAATTAGAAACAAATTCCTTTAGAAATTAAAACCCAACATTTGAAACATCAATTTGAATACTTTTCGAAGTGAATTTGAAAAACTCATGAATTAAACTCAACTTTATTTTGTTCAAACTTGCATTTGCTGTAATAACCCAAATTTAGGAACATTCCCCATTCAGGCAGACTGTGATGTCATCACACCAGTCAGGTTGCCTCTAAGCTCGCCCAGTCGACCAGAGTGCTTCAAATTGTCACGTGATGTCCTGTTACCCAGCGGTGAACCAACCAGAGTGTACCAAATTGTCTCGTAGTGTCCTCAAACTGTCACGCAGCTTGCCATTTAATCAGAGCGCACGCTACTGCATCTCAGAACATCGTGGCGGGAGATTTGAATTTTTGTGGACATAAATAATTCAAACAAACGACCAAGCGTATCCCTCAACGAGACAGACTGCCCAGTCACGTGGCGCGCTTACGTCAGCCCATCTTTTCGCTCAACACATTTTTGTTTCATAGCCCACTGTCTAATAAGAAAAAAAATGACTTTCAACCTTTTTGTTTACGGAACTTGGCTCTAATAGAAAATTACTCTAGGTGAAACAACGAATCGAGTGACATCTCAATTCAACAATTCAATTTACTGTGGANATAGAAGTGGCAACGCCGCAATGCTGAAAATATTTCAGATCGATAGAACAGGTAAGGAAATGTGAGAGGTGAAATATTCAGAAAAATCATGCTATGCGTTTTCCATCGACAGTGAGTCACGCTGTATATGTGCGTCTGAATATGTATATTGGACGTTAATCAGCTGTCGCCCCTTTACGAACGACAACTCTCAAGGTCGAAACGTGTGTGAGCTAAAGACTAACGAGGTTTACCTCTTAACTTGTGATTCCTAAGACGGGTTGGACGATAGAAAGTTAGGGCCTTGCGGCTTGAAACACCGGTACACACAGCGGTCGATTGAGTGAGTTCAGCAAACTATCCACGTCAACCCGACCGGTTACCGTCTTACTTAGTTAATTGAAAGAGTGTAGCAATACCGCAACTATGACAGAACAGAAATAGCGTACTTTATGAAAAATTGCATGCCGAACTCAATTATGCATAGAATTGGAATCGCTGCTATTCCTTTCGTTGGGACAAATAATATTTTTGGGTCATGTCTTTTGACCAATGCTATTCAAAACATGTATTCGTATTTCAGCTAATAATCATTACTCTTACAGTTTGAATGGGTGCTGAGTGTAGTTTTATAAGGAAATCATTCATGTGACTATTCACCAAGTAACTTTTCATTTGGACGTCCTCTTCTTATCAACTGGAATCTCGTCAGTATGCAATTGTGGTGCCGAAGAGAGTATTCCAGAAGATCTTCTTCAGGTATGGTTCAGGAGCTGTACATTCCGGCCTGGTTACAGGTTACTTGAAATAATCAGAAAAGTGTCTGCTGGCTGATGAGTGTAGTTATTACCCTGCAATCGTGACAGGGCCATCTTCCTGTGATGCGTCATACGTGACCTACTGCCAAGCCACACATCTGTGTTGTTCACGAAGGTAGTCGCAGGCTAACAATCGATCACATCTTCACTAGATTTAGGAAATGTACCATGGTGTGTCAACCTGAAGTGGATTGTTCTTCTCAAGGAAATGTAGGCACTGGTAGTGGAGGACACACTCTGTACCCTCTTTCGTGGACTGGATCAGGTTTACAGCACATGCTAGTGTCATCCTTGGTTGCTGACCTAGGTAATCATTCACCAAATATGCGCGTGTCACAGTAAACTCTCACGAGTCGAATGGACACAGTCTCTTTGCGCCTAACCTTACCCCCCTCTGGCTAATTCTGTTGAACCACATAACCACAAAACAAAAGTTGTCAATAGTCGATAATTATCGATGACATCCTGTTTGAATAGCATTCTCAGGATATCATTATTACATTGAAATCCGTACTTCACTAACTTATTCACAGAAAGGGACAGTGATAAGGCATCCCTCATTTCATGTCTCACCGAGCAAAATGAGTCCATTCAAAACAGAGATATCAAGTTGTCCGTTCCGAATCCATTTTCAACATTTTCACTTAAGTCGAACTGAACCGTAACACGTTACGACCCACTCGATAATGATCTGAGTGTAGAACATTAATTACTGAAGTTTTGCTTTTAACACCACCATTACGTGAGCATTATCAACGTGATATTGCAAGCCGTAAAAGGATTCCGCACGTTTTCTCCTTACGTAGATATTCGGGATACTGTTTCGATTATCTCACGTAATAACGGAGCAGCATATTATATGGTGAGGTATATTCTTATTTCAATTGTGAACGAACTGATTACAAAAATGAGTTCAACAACGAGTTCCGAGCTTCATTACTTACAAATTCATTATGGTTATTTATTGTTACAGAAATTACAATAAATGGGAAGATACCGGCTAATCAGAGTTCACTATGTTCTGGAATTGATATTACTGGCATTACTGAGACATTATGATGACTAACGAGTCTCCAAACCGGATAATCACCGATTTTCATCGCCTAAATTTTTTAAAGTACCAGAATATTTTGAAAGAGACTGTACCAACTTTTTCCACAATGTATGGATGAAAATCACAAGATAATAATTTTCTCCACAAAAAAGGGCTTGCGTTCAACTTTTACCATAACGTTCTTTCTGAATTAAAAAAATACTTTTCCAGTGAAACGAACTTCTAACGACAAACCTTGGTACAACGAAAATGGCGAGCAAGTTGTTGCATCCAAAAATCTCGCCTACCGGCAGTGGCGCGAAAATCTCGGTACCGAAAACTGAAGCAGGTTTGTTAATGCTCACAACAGCTGCAAACTCAAAATGAATGAAAGCCAAGAACTTCACAATCAGAGAATTAGGGATAAACTGCTTGCCAGAGCTTGACTAGG